TATCTGTCATCGCGGTGACAGGTTGTGTTCACTGACAACACGTTAAATAAAAATAACAATAGCGTGCGCGTAGCGCACGCCTGTGTTGTGCTAGTAAAAATAAAATATACTTAAATATCTTTAAATACCATACTTTTTAATTCTTTCATCGTGAATAGAAAAAAGAAAAAAACAGTTACTTTCGCACAGTTGTATTACTTACGACGAGTTTCACATAGAGATTTTGCCATAATTACAGTCCAGAATAAATTATACTTTGGACAAACAAGTAAAAATGCAAGAGAGCAGCGCGCGCGAGTAGGAAGAAATAGAAACAAACGACAGGAAGAGAGGGAGAGCTTCCTTTCAAGGAAGCGTTGTGAATTAGTTTCCATTTGCTAATTACATGCGGAGTCGCATGGCGAGAGAGAGAGAGAGAGAGAGAGAGAGAGAGAGAGAGGAAGAGAAACGCGACGGAAATAATTATGTTTAATCTCGCAAAAATTAAAAACTCTCCGAAGCGACCAAAAGAAACTTTTCTCCCCTTCGCGTGAGAAGCCACGCGCAAATCTCCGTGTCACTTTGCGCAATTCATTGTCTCTCAACAATTTTAAACAAGTAATAAAATAATATATCTCTCATCTCTGTTATTCGAGACATCCATCCGTCTTTTTCGTTTTAGGCGCGAAGTACTTACGCGTTCAAATGAGTCACCGTCCAGTTAAGGATTAAAAGACTGCAGAAAGTGGAGAGATACTCGGCGCTGCTGAAAGGGCGCAAAAGAAAGGAGAGCGTGAATCGTGGAAACCTTCAACTCGACGCTTTTCTCGTCGCTTATCTCACCGGCGGATACGTTCCAGCAGCAGCGCGTTGTTGCAGCCGGTGAAGAAAAAGTAAAAAAAAAAAAAAAAACGAGGAGGTCGGCACACGGAAAGTATACGCTATCCGGCGGCGTGTCTACGTGCAAACCTAAGTCCCTGGAAAACACGTACGCGTGTATTCCGTGTGTGTCTGTATTTCCGCGAGCGCGCGCTTTTAACGAGCAAACTTTCGACAAATAAATTTCGCGCGAATCAGCACGCGTTTCGCCCGAAGGAGGCGTCCGTTCGTTACGCGGTCGAGAAATCTCGCGAGCGTCGGCTCTATCCGTGTTCTTGTATCTGGCGAGCACAAGCTGCAATTGATGCATCTCCAAAAGACTCACTGAGAGGGTGAAATTTACACGATTGACTGTTTACACGCGCGGTTCGTATTTTGAATGCGACGATACAAGCACGAACGAAAACGAAGACTACGATCTTTGCGACTGAACATCAAACTGCTATTTCTAATTACAACAAATTTAGATTTTTTTCAAAATGAAGACCATAGAAATGAAGAGCACAAATTTTTAGAAAAATTTATAGTTTCAAAATTTGTATGTTTCTCGAGTTTTCGAGTGCGCATATAACAATTCCAAAACGAGTGTTTAAAGGAGTGATACGCGCGGGAAAAGGCTGCGTGTGATAGATACGCACATCGGCAGGCGGTGGTCACGAAGTTGGACCACCCGCCTACCAAGCCGTGGCAATAAAATGAATTTATCGACGCCGCAAAATGGTGGCTCCTTATTCGCTCTCCTTCCTGCGGCCGTACTTCATTTTGCCGATATTAAATGCTGTAAATTCAGGCCGCCACTTTCGTCTCTCCGTTTTCCTTTTCGCTTTCGCGCACCAGCTACTTCTATCGCCACAGGGTGCTGCCTGCGAAATCGATGCGCTCTTGTATAATCATGAGTGTGTATATACTCGTGATGCAATTCGTGACACTTTGAAAGTCTCGTGTTACAGAGGAATATTCATAAAGTTCAATTTTCACATTTTTCCTCTTTAGTTGTCCATTATTAAGTTTGTGCTTTCTATATCCTATATATAGGAGTTTCAGTTGACTTGCCGATACGGCTTTGTAAAGAAAACAAAATTATTGTAATCTTTGCGTATAAAATCCACATTATAATGTCTATTTGTTTTTTTTTTTTTTTTTTTTTTTTGCGTATATACATTATACATCAATTCTGTTGTAAAGTACAGGTAGTAAAATGCTTCAATAGTACACGTACATCATCCACGCGTTGCATATTGTGTTTTGCCGGCTTTGCTACGGAACTATACGTGTGCGTACGCGCGTGTGTGTGTGCATGTGTGTGTATGTGAGCGTAAAACGAGCATCGTTACGCTTGCATCAGCATCAAAGGCGGATGCCACGTGCCGGCAATTTTTAAAACATGCCGCGCGCGTATACGTGTCGGACCGGTCTTTATCGACAAGAAGGAGGATGCGACGACGGCCTAGAAATGCAATCCGGATTGCCAGTGCGACGCAATTACTAGCCCGCGCGTCTTTTCGCGATCATACTCTCGTCGTATATCGATGATCGTGCATTTTTCACAAGACGCGCCATAGTTATTTGCAAAACAAAAGGGTTACTCAAAAACATTATTTCTAAAAAAATCCTTTTTGATAAAATTAAAGTCAATTGTGTGAATTTGTCACATGATTATTTATTTTCTTCGTAAAATATATATAATGTTTTTTTTCATTAAACGATGTTGCTAAATGACATGTACACTAATTATTATCTTAATTGATACATTATATTACAAACGTATATATAATAGTAATTCGATTATCTTTATTAAACCAAATGTTTTTTTTTCAATATTATAATTTATTTTTTGTATCGACGAGTAATGTAAAATAAAGACACAAACTGTGATCAGATTGCAGAATAAAAGTTTAAATATTGCATGAAAAGAGGATTTATAAATGTTAAGAGTTTTATAAATTGAACTCTATAGTATTTTCGAAACATTATTGATATAGAAATATTTTACATTGCATTGTACATTACGATTTATATTACACTGTATAAAAATTTGTAACTGGACAATCGCGTGCATCACTAGTTCAGATAAAATGTGAATGCAACATTATTAGTTATTATTAATTGTAAAAAATATCGTTATTTTATTTATAATCGTACTAACTGAAAAACACGATTTTTATTTATTTAGTAAACGAGAAAGACTTCAATATTTTTTTTTACTGAAAGTAGAAAAGTATTTAAAACATACATATTTCTACTATAATTAACACTATGTACAATTAACTATATATATATATATATATATTTTGGAAGTAAAGTATTAATTCAAACACATCTGATAATTACTAAAGAAGATATACTAAAGCGAATGTTATTAAGGTTGTACATATGTACAGTGTGTTATCTTAGTTAACATTTCTCAAACGGATATTATTTTATAAAAGTAATATAATAAAAATACACAATGCGCAACGTGAAAAACAGATTTACATTTTTGTGCGCGAACGAGATCTTCTTAAAACGCGTTTGCACTCCTGCTGTTTTCCACGATTCGTCTTCTCTCTCTTAGAAGTTCCAAGAATTTCGCCCTTGGACTGCTGGGATACTTCAGTTCCAAAGGCGAGTCGAGTCTAGAATTCGTCGGTTCGATCTTTAAACTGTCTTTTATTATGTGCGTATTTCTCAGTGCGATATCCTCCTCAACGTTGAACGTCTGTCCCGTCGATTTCGCAGAATGATGATCTGTCGTACAATTGGAATATCTCGTCGACTCGCTCGGCATCTCGATTCTCGGGAGATTATCGTTTCTTTTCGACAATTTGTTGCGATCGTAGCAGGTTTCCTCGAAATCGACCGTGGAACAGACAGAATCGGTCTTCGAATCGGTATCCTCCGCATCCGATAGTTTCGTTCTCTTGAAATCTTCGAGACTGCTTTCGATTCCGCGAATGTCGCCGAGATAATCCCCGGCGACGGAAACTTCGTCGAAATTAATGATTCCGGAGGCGTCTTGTCGGAAAGCTTCCCAAACTTTAGAATAAGTCGTCGGGCTTTGCGACCCGAGATCGGTTATTTTCCGCAGATGTTTCTCCCTCCTTGGATTCCGGCACTTTCTGGAATCGACCGCGCTCATCAGCTGACGGAAGATCTTACGCTCGAGATCGTCGTCGGATGTGACGTTGTTGTTCCTCTCGTCGAGATCCCGTTTGCCGAATTTACCGACAATCTCTTCTCCGTATTTCTCTGTCCCGTTCAACGCCGAGCGTCTCGTGACGTCTTGAGTCTGAATGGAAGACAAAAAGGGTGAAGAAATCCTGGAGAAACTCGATTCGTCGCAACTATCCGCACCGTTTTCGACAACTGCGTTCTTCCCGCATCGGCGAATCACGTTGTCTCCCGAACAACCGGAAGAGAACAGCTTTGAATCTATGCTGGATTTCGCTAAACCCGATTTAGCGCCAGCAGACTCAACGCTGATGCTATATCTGTCTTGAAGAACCTGGTTGTGCTTGCTGACCCTGTCGATGCACGCCTCTAATCTCTCGATGCCTCTTATACATTTCTCGTAGGACTCAGCAGCGACGATATCGTCCTTGCTCGGCTTCAGGTACTTGTCGGTGTCATCTTTCAGGCTCACCTTTCGACCTCGGTACTGCATGTAATTCTTGTCCATGTTTGTCCTGTTCCCACGATTACCTCTTCGTCTTCTACGATGTTTCTTGTAGCTGTCCAACATGCTAGTGGCACTCATGTACTCGTTGATAGAGTTCATGTTGCGCATGAAGGTCATCGCTTCGTTCAGATACTCTTCGAGAATATTTCTCCTCGGTATCATGTGATAACAGATGTCCTCGTCGCTGTTGACGGTGTTGTCCGATTCGTTGCAAGTCTCCTCGTAATCCTCATTAGAGATCTCCGCTTTGTGATCGTTCAGCGACTCTTCGGAGTTTTCGGAATCTCGATTTCCGTCGAAAGCAGACGAAATCTTCTCGTTTCTCGCCGATTCTACTTCTTTCTTCCGCAAGGGTCGATCGGTTTCGATATTCTGCCGAGCAACGTTCGAGTTTTCAGTCACAGGTTTGATTTTCTTAATAATAGATTTTAAAGAGTTTTGTCTCGGCGTCAAAGTGTTGCGACTAGTCGCAAGCGTGTCGGTTATTTCTTCCGGACTGCTAGGCTCTGAGAAGGACACTTTCTTCCTGCTGACGATATCCGACTGGTTGTACGCTTTCGCGGTTGTTTCTTCTTCGGAATCGCTGCCCGCGACATAAGACGACGTTCCTAGAATCAACGCCTTGTAATCCTGAATTGGACTCTTCTTGTCTGATATTTCAGTCAGTTTTTTCTTCGGCAATGACACTTCGTTGTCGTCGAAATCGTTGTCCACTGATTCGACACCGATCGAGTCTGCGTGACTCGTCGACTTCGAGATTTCCTTCTTCGTATGCGCGACGACATCCGGAGGACAAAGACTCTCGTACTTTTCGTGCTTTTCCGAGTCTTCGACGTTTTTGTCAGTTACGTTTTCTGTGAAATTATCTTCGTCACGATCAAGACTGTCGTCCGAGAAATTACAATCGTAGCCCAACAGACTGTTTATCGAGACGGATTTCAATTTCTCCGATTTATCGAGGCGGAAATTTTGATCAGATAATTCTTGAACCGTTCCGTTCGAAATTTGATCAGCATGAGTATATTCGTTGCTCATCGTAGAAGTAGAAAAGTGATCAGCTTGTTCCACCTTAGTGTCTCGTTGCGCAGGAAGTTGCGTCTCTCTGCTATAACAATCGATGAGTCTCGATAATTTTTGTGAATATGGAAGAGTCCAGTTTTTCCACAGTCCCATTGTCTCGGAAGAGTTCGGTCTTTCCGAATCTCGACCGATAAATTCGTACGCCGTTCTTTCTGGACTCGCACTGTAACTGCGTCTCTTAGCGATAAAAGCTTGCGTTAAACTCTTGACGATCGGCCGTTTTGTCTGATAAATTTTTTCAACGGGCTGCATCTCGTCCCATTCCGTTTCCGCGCCATTTTCCGTCATCTCGATAACGGACGAGTATTCCGTGCCTCGAGAATTTCTCAAGGTCACCGACTTCTTCGTTGCAACTTCTCTCCTCGAATCGGAAGACACGGCATCGTAGCAGTTCTTGGTCCTCGTATCTTGGAAGATGTTTTCGATCCTGAAGACTCTGCCGTCCGCTTGAACGGCTGTTGATCTGACTGCGGGGTCTTGCGGAGAAGACTCCTCGCATTTGATCTCACTCGTTTGGGATTCCTTATCACTATAAATGGATTTCGGTTTTTCTTCCGCTGTATCGGACGCTGTATCGCCGTCCGTCACAGCAATCCTCGACTCCAGTCCGTTTGTACTTTCTATAGTTATGTTGATCATGTCCGGTAAAGATATGGAGATGATATTTTTCTCGATACTGTTCGTCGGGGGTGACACCAAGCACTGCGGGTGCTGATGAATCAGACTGCAACAATGACCGCAACTTCTGTTCTCCGAGTTCTCCCTCTGATCCGTCACTTTTTGATTCACCACTTTCTGATTTGTCAATTCCCGATTTGCCACTTCTCGACGCACCGTTTGCATCGCCGAATCTTTACCGGACAATACGAGATTGGACGTGTTGGTCGAGCTGTCCGCGTACGGCACTTTTTTGTCACCCTCTGGAGAAAGTTCGAACACCTCGGCGCTCGACAAGTTGCTCTCGTAATTCTGCGTGTCGTCGGACAGCACGCCAGAATCGTTTCGCGACGAGTGCAGCTCGTAGTCGTCGAAATCGAGGTCGTTGGCTAGGCAACCGACGTCCTTGCAACGGAAAATGTCCGTTTGCGGTCGTCGGTCCGTCAGCGTGGCCATGTCCTTCACTCGGAGAACAGGTAGCCGTTGAGTTGACGTAGTCGCGACGACGTCCGTGTGATCGTCTGTGAGAATTGCCGCATCCTGAAGAACCACCTTCGGCTCGTCGTCCGTCAGACTCGCCGTATCTTTGAGGCGCAGAGTCGACGCCGCTTCTGTCTGCGTGTCCACGTTAACCCTTCGCCGTCTCAACAACATCTTCCTTGAGATATCCTGGAGTTTTGATCGTGTCACGAGATTATTAGATACTTTCGTGTCGATACCTTCCGGCGGTGAACGTATGTCCATAGACTCTTCTGGTTGCTTTCTGCTTGAATAGAGTCTCTCGGTAACGGCAGCGACGATTTCGGAGCGTTTCACTCGCTGGATAGCTGTGTGATATCTGCCTCCGCTCGTCGTCGTCGCTTCCTGCTCCAACGAGTTCTTTCGGCGCAATAGTTTGTCACGTGTCAAGTTCGAGATCAAAATCTGCTCCTCTTTGGAACTGCTCGAACTACTGTCTTTACTGGTCTTCCTCTTCAGGTTCTCCAAACTCGGTTTTCTGCCGATGTTGCTGACGTAACCGGATGTCCTGCCGCTGCTGGATTCCTTTAGACTCTTGTCGGACTCATTGCTGCTCTTACGCTGCAAGAGATCCTTGTTGCCGATCGCCTTCCAGATATTTCCCGACTTGGTGCTCGCCTTGTGATCGTCGATCTCACGGATATTGTTCAGCTTTTTCCCACGATCGGCCAGCGACGAATGTTTCTCCAGATTTGTGTGCGATCGCTGAAAACTCAATATCGGTTCTTTTCTCTTACTGATCCCTTCGATCGAGCCGAATTTTCTCGAGACGTTCAAGTTCGATGACGGGAGATCGATGGAGTTTTGCTTGCTGAATTTTCCTCTCGATTCGTTTCTTCCGACCGATGACGGACTACGTGGGGAACTGTCCGGCGAAATCTGATGATGAAGCTCGCCGATTTCCGTGTCTTTCAAACCGTTACACAAATTCGTCAAATTACTGCGATCGTCGGAATTGATGTAATCGATCTTTTCCGATTCCTCGAACTCCTCGTTGCCGCCCTCTATGAAATCGGTGTCGATAGAATCCTCTTGCACCTCGTCGGAACAGATTTCTTCGATCTGCGTCGACGATTCCTGTAGACTATCGTCCGGCTTGATCAACACCGCTACGAGCGTCGGTATATCAACGAAAACAGGTTCGTTGATCTCGTCTACGACCTCATCCTCCTCGTCGTTCAATTCTGTGATCTTGGCTCGATTGTAGTTAAAACGATCCGAGGATTGCAGATCGCAGGAACTGAACCTTCTGATGAAACCTGAAGAGCCGGTTTCACAGGTCGTCACGCTGTCGCTGGAGTTGGATCTTCTGAGCGAAAGCGCGTAAAGAGATTTTTCGTCCTTCGACTCGTCTTTGCGATCAGATTTTTCGGAGGACGATATCTGTTCTTCGTGATGTGAGAGTTCCGTCGTTGTGTACTTTGAACTTTGAGCTTTGCCGCAACAACACGGCGCTTGGGTGTTACCGTCGATATCCTGCAACAAGAGATGATCAATTTACTTCTATTTTTAAAAACTCTGAAAATAAAGTTTATAAAAAATAAAGAAAGATTATTTCTCTGAAAACGTAATTATGCAAGTATATATAAAATATTTCATCTCCAGTGCGAAACGCGATATGGAAAATTTTGGCTGGTTGACAAAGTCCGTGATTGCGAATAAAGCGTAAAGAATTTAATTAATCGATTATGCAACGTGCGGAAATGAAGGATAGCGTCGGCTTGGTTGGGAAATGGAAACTCGCGCGGAGATCGTTCGTTACGCCTAACGCATCGGTGTGTTATATTTTATCAGCAATCGTTCGGTCAATCGCTCGCAACGGGCTCTCGATAAGTGTCAAATAAACGATCAATGAATCTCATTTGCGTAATGACATCGGACAATATCGTCGCTCGCGCATTTGGTAAACCCCGATAATAAACTCCCTCGCACCCTCGCGCGCGAGTTAAAACGCGGTCCTGAAAAATCGGCCGCTATTTATCGCCGGATCCGCGCGTTTCACGTCGAGCGAAATTGCGAAATTTGTTTTATAATGCCTCGCTATTACCGATCGGGCGCCGCCCGAAACTCATTAATATTTTCCGCCTGTAGCATGCGAATCTCCGGTCGTGTTATAAAGTCGCTCGATCAACATCAGAGCCGGGGATTAAATCCTTTCGCGTTTTTCGCGTCCCGTCCCCGCCGACCTCATTTTTCAATTCGACCGCGTCAGAAGACAAACGAGAAAATAGCGTCAATTTTTATTCAATTAAAATAATATCGCAAAAGTTAAGAAATCAGAAATAAACTCTAATAAATTGTGTATAAACAAATGAGAAACAAAATATATGCTATAATGAATAAACACATATAAAGACAGTATCTACTTTGTCAAAATTTTACTTTGTATCATAGTGTATGTTTTACTGTTTCTGCTGTGAATTTTAAGTAATTGTTTCACTTTTACTTTACTTATTTTCAAAGTTGTAAACTTGGTCTTGAATGTCAATATGTTAGATAAACAATTTTGTACTATTATTTTGTATAATTTTTATGTACGTTTAAATTAATATAATTTAATATATCTTCTCTCGCGCACGTAAATTGCGCAAAGTGCGAGTATAGAGTGTTTGTAAATTCCTTGCCTTCTCCAGTAACAAGGATTTCAGTCGGGCAATCTCAGCTTTCAGTTCACGGATGATTCTCTCCACGGGATCCTCATTGACCATCGGTCGGTTGACCACGCTCTGCGCTCTTTGCGCGAATCGCAGAGTGTGCGCGGTTTCGTTGTAACTTCCGCTGGCCGGGGAAATCGCTGGAAGAGAGACAGAATTCGCGTTAACGCTAGAAATAATCGACAACAATCCACTGCGCGCTTTCGGCTAACTATCTCCTATTCCCGCGGTGCGATTTCTGACAGCCACATGTAGCCGTTCTGATACGATAGCTATTTGATATTAAATTAACAACTGCGTGCTGCAATTTTTACACTATGCATTTTCTATAACGCAGCTGCTCGTCAGCAACTTATTGATAATGAGAGATTGCTCGAAAAATATCTGTTTGCTCAGAGATAATTACGCGGTGCGACGATCTTTATTTTACTGCAAATGTCACATGACATGCAAAATAATTCGAATCTCTTGTGAGAGAATCCGCACATAAGATTCGTCACATTTATCCGTGAGTGGAGGTAATCAAGAGTTTTGAACATCTGTCTCGAATCTGCTACGCTACGTGCAGCGTTTATCACATTAATCGAGAGAAGGTATGTAGAGAACCGTAGCGTGGACGCAGGTCAGTTGGAAATAATTCGCGACAGTTTCCGAGGGCTCGATAATTCGAAATGAATTTTGAGTGGACGATGTTCTTTTTCGAAACGTCGTCGTATGTACGACGAAAGAGATCGACACGTAAAATTCACCATCGGCGATATATACGCGGGAGCAATGTGTGTCTGTCTCATCTATATGCTCAATCACAAATGCGAGCACACTGAATATTAAACGTCTCCCCGATAATAAACCGAAATGCTATTAGCAATTCAATTAATTGCCGATGATCAGCGGTTCGGAATATTTCGCTACGATTAATTATACACGTCGCCGGTTTGGCTAGAAGTATTCGGAAAACTCAGCCGCGCGCTGTTTCCCTGGCCAATTATACAGATCGCGCAGATCGACTCTTCCATTTCGGCAATTAATTGTGACGAGTCGGGAAAGAGGGAAGGACAGCAGCGCGCCTTCTCTTGATTAACGTCTCTCCACGCCACCGGCTCAATTACGCCAATTTCATTGGTTTATCACGGAGAAAGAGAGAGAGAGAGAGAGAGAGAGAAATGAGAAAAAGGAAACAAAAAAAATATTACAATGTTCACGGATTCGACAAGACAAACAGTAAAAGAAGAATACAGATTTTTACTTCCAGATCACTTCGGAATAATTTCAAATTTAGCGTGTTGTGTAAAAAAACTATTGTGTTCGCGCAAAATGTGTGCTGCAATCTAAATGTTCGGAGAGAATTTTATGCAGAAATGAAGTGATTTATGATCACTTACAAGGCCGCAAATTACATACGCAATATCATTTTATTCATTTAATTTCTAATTTTTTTTCTTTAAACTTAAATTTGAAGAGTATTAAAAGTTTTGATCGTTGTGAGATAGAAATTTTTGTTCATTACGTATTGTACTCTGTGACACATTTCTCTCTACGTGTTAAAATCTATGAATATAATTATTGCAAAGCATTTTCGGATTTGCATGTATATTGCATTTATGATTACGAAGTATCGATCATGTGATCAATGTATATATGTGCTATGAGAAATAAGAGACGGGGGGAGGTAGGTGAAAAGCGAGCTTATAATTTTCTCGCAAATATATATACACATTTGGTGAGACGCGATTTACGCGGAGAGAATATATTTCCGGGAGGAAATCTCTTAACGTTCCGACAGAACGCTCCAAGATCGCAAAGGGATGGAAACGAAGGGGGAAATGGATAGGAGACGCAAGTTTGCAGGGGAAAGATCAAAAGGAGCAGACCCCGACAGACACTTACTGGCGAGCATAATGGTGGTAGCATTTCCGCCGAGTGCATCCTTCAACAGCCAAGTGAGCGAGGAATCCCTGTAAGGGATGTATCTTTTGCCTGGCCCAGTTCCGGTAGAACCTCTTTCGGCAAGTGCGGATATCACGTTTCCCAAAGCCACCAAGCTTTTGTTGATATTCGCGCCTTCCTACAAATGATAATGACAAAATCGTGAAAACATTAATTAAACTTATCGAACGTGGATTATGATCAGAGATGTGAATACATAGTTTTCAAGAAACTCGTCCTTTAAATCTGAAATAATTTTTTTCTACATTTTAGCGACAATAAGTTCGATTGCTATTTATTATCGTGTGCGAAGGCAAACATTATGCTACGCACTGTAACTTTTGTTGCGTAATATTTTAATTGATAACGTGATACTTAAGAGAAAAACAAGAACTCTGTTTTTTTAAGCTTATTCTTTGTTTAATGACAGAAACGCACTTCGATTTTTGCACTAGAAACACTACCGGATATAGTTTTTGAATGTTTGCGACGCGGTGATGATATTTCCTGTATCTTCGAAGGCATGATCGCATCGATATTCGGCCTCACGGTAAATAAGACAACATGTGAAGTAGTTCACTGGGCGCAAACACATTTGTCTTTCTCTTCTGCACAATATTTTCCATCTATAACACGCTAAATCTCGATGTCGAAAATCAATTTCACGCAAATCCGCGCGAATCTACACACGTATGTATCTTTCGCACTTGTTTGTACATCAGTAGTTTTCGCGAGCCGCACGTCGACGGCCGCGATCAGACGAATCGTCCATTAGCGCGCGACGGCGCTTAGGACGAGATTGATAATTTTCACCTTATCCTTCCGCGGACTCGCGCGAAATATCGATTTCCATTGCGCGCGAAGCTCAGCCGGAACGAATATTCCGATATTATTTTTAGGAAATGACTCACCTTCAGTCGATGAACGCCACTGCAGGTGGCCGCGCTCTCGCTGCCCGCCAGATCGACCAGGTGCAATCTGCTGCTGCTGGCGCGAGCGGCATCCTGCCTTCTGGAGGAGTCGTTGGCGTCAGGACGCTGCTCGCTCGTCTCCTGCGAGAGATTGACGGTCAGCAGAGCGTGGCTACGACTGCTGCTGGGATTCTGAAGCGTCGACGCTGTCTTCCTGGCCTTCGTTCCCTCCTCAACGTATGACATCAACGACCCCAGGGTACGGACCACGTGGTGCGTTAATCCTGGAAGTAAGGAAACCGCGTTTCGATCGACGAGAAAATTGTTTCGTGAGTAAAAACTATGTGAACCAATTGATTTTGAAGTGTAAATTTGCATTCACGATAATTCCGTCTTTAGTTTATTTTTAGTTAATTTTTATTGATATCAAGTTTTTTAATTCTATATAAATTAATATAATATAAATATATAAATAATAATATATATAAATATATATAAATAGAGGGCAGACTTTATATAATTTATTTGATGAAAAAAGCAATTTTTTAATAGAGAGTTACAAACATTACTTTTAGTGTGATGCGCGATATTTGATTTTATATATATATATATGTTATTAAAAAAATATGCTGTATTTACATATCTCCACATTGAATTGCAATAACGCAGCGAAGTGCAAGAATATTACAGCGTGGAAAGAGACGCGGAACGAAATAAGGGGGATGGTGGAGATTTAAACAGCGCAGACTTGGGTACACACTGAGTAAGAAGACCCTCGAGGAATTTTAGAGCCGACATCCTCAGTACGCGACATTTCACGGTAAACGAGCGGGAGTACCTTGAACATAAGGTCCTAGACGAGGATGTTCTCGAACTCTCAACCCGCTCGCACTCGTCGACGGCTTCAGAAGATCCCTCACCTTCTCGTTATATATCTCGAAATAACTGAAACACAGATTCGTCGTATGTAATTTCACCGAAAGGACTCTCGTGAAATTAATATTATTATAAGTGCTCTCCGCGCGTGTATAAGCAATTCGTTACCTTCGCATATTTTCTCTTTCATATAATCAATGATTATTTTTCCAATAGTTTTTTTGTACATATTCGAGATGTAAAAGATATCGACACGCACTGCATCATCGTTAGAAGTAAAGAAAGAACGTCACAAAACCGGTATAAAAATCGTATCCTTGTCATTTCAAATCAACGCACGTTATTTTCTTCTTTAATTAAAAAAAAAAAAAAAAGATTAGCTTTTAATTGTCGTGAAAAATTTTGTCGATTCATTACACAGGGAAGCAACACGTCATTGTCTTTCGGCGGAAGAAGAACGTGCGCACCGACGATGACGAGTTTATTTGTGAAAATCACAACACACATCCTTCCCGATTCTCGTCCAGGATACCATCTCGCTGATGCGCTTCGAAGCATGTCACTGGCGCGAACGTGATGTGTTTCGCGGGCGACGAAGACGACGAGGGGACTCTGCAGACTGGAGTGTACCACACGTGAGCGCCGCGAGGACGCTTCGTGGATCCTCTTAACATCATTATCCGCCTTGTTGCAGTCGCGGAACGTTCGCACGTGCGCTCGTAAATCGGTTTAACGGCGATCGCGGCTTCGAACGGTCACGTTCACCAGGTAAAACACTTTCTCGTTGCTCTCCGCGAGGCCAGTCTTTTTTCTCTCTTTTTTCTTCCTCTCTTCGTTTTCCTCCGTCGCGTTTCTTTCTGTTACACGTTCTTAGACGCGACGGGGAATCAACATGCAGGTCTTCCTTGCAGATCCCGATCGCGTGAGCGATTTGTTTGCGTTCGAAACTCCGAAGTATCCTCGCGCTCCAAAACAAACAAATAATAACGCGATAATTCAATCTTTTTTATTAGCAATTCCATTACTTCTCTTTTATCTTCACTGCTGTTCGCAGATTGTTGTTTTCTTTATTAAAGCGGATAAACTCACGAGAAAGATTACGAGAACTGTGTCCGACTTCCCAAGTTGTTTACCGTCGAATTATACGTGCATCTTTGTGTACGTCGAAAAAAGTTTCGTCATTTATCTTCCTTGACCCGAAGATGCAGCAGGGTTCTCGTTATCGGGGCGCAAGGGAGAGGGAGGAAGCGTTATGGGCTCATAAATTGGTTCAGGGAAATTTTCAGAGTAACAAGACACACGTTTTCTGACCTGATTCAGACGAGAAACGAGCTCAATGTTTGCGCGCTAGCTCAAAAAAAAAAAAAAAAAAAAATACGAGCAGTTACGACGAGCGAAATTCACGCGGTGAATTGTTACAACATCGTTGCGCCACCGAGATTTTCGCCATTTGTAAATTTCGTTTCTCGGTAATGCTCTTTAGAGGAATGTAAAAATCGCGAGATTACACGAAAATGTAGAACGCCGCGCGTGTTTCCTCAACATTTAAGGGCACATGTCGATTTGCGCCACGCAATGATGATTTTAAGATCTACGATTTGCGCGTTTTTTTTTGCAACAATTTCGTAGATGAGTTTAGAATTCGTTACGCGGCACACGAAAAATCATTCCGAGCTAATTTCATTTTTAATTAGAAACCAACTTGTGTGTCGCGTTTTAACTAACGAACTTTTGTCAGCATAAACCAAATTAAAATGCGGAAAATTGTTCTCTGGCATCTCTTCCTTCTTTAATCTTAATAACTTAATTATAAAAGAATACAACCAACTTCGGGGCTGTTGTATTAATTAATTGTAAAGTTTGTTAGTGACCGTGTGTGTGTGTGTGTGTGTATGTCATAATTTATTTTCGTGTGATATACGTAAACTGTTATAGTCTCCCAGAACTTGCTGTTATCTCCTCATTGAGGACACCGGGATCTCTCTAGGGAAAATCGATGCTGAAGCTTCTCTATAGAGAATATATATATATATATATATATATATATATATATATATCTGAAGACCAAACGCAACATGACAGGAAAGTTCGACACCCGATAGTTAATGAAAATTAATGTCCGGTATTGAATTATCGCTAATCGATAACGTTCAATCTCGTCGACTTTCGAAGAATCCATCTCATCGTTGTTCAAAATTGGTCTAGAATTGGCTCCTCTCACGGTTGTTATCTTTCGTTGATTAATCGAATGTAAAAAACATACTTTTACATCTAATAACTTTTAATGTTTAATCATTTCTAACTTTCAGTTTAGATTTGTCGCGGTTTTTTTAAATAATGCGTACAGTATTTTATTTGATGTATGGTAAACGCGACAAGAGTAACAAGCATTTTATTTTCGATTTATCGACGATGTCCTTTGATAAACAACTCGTCGAACAGCTCGGTTCGCGCGCGGATTTTACACTTCTCATCGGCAAGACGCGCGACTGCCGGCGCGCGAAAACTTGGAGTCGAGGAGAGTCGGCGCGCGCGCGTTAATTACTGTTAATTAATGATATCCAGGCGCGTCTCTTGCGGCGGGTACGAGGGGAGCGTCGAAAGCCATTAATTACGTGCCTTAAACTTTTCGAGTGTCCTTTCTCCCTGAGTGCTGTGAAACGAGGGAGAGGGCTAGTTTTCGGCGAGAGAACGAAAGCAGAGCCGCGGCGCCGTATAACGCGCGGGTTCACCATTTCTATCTCTCGTGCCTGACGAATATTACGCCACCGGAATAGGAATCGATATCCCCGCGCGGCCTCGATGAAAGACATCGGTTACGAGGAAAAAAGAATCGAATATTGAATGACTTGTCCGTCGAGCGATGTGGCGGCCTTCATTTTTCGAGCTCCCGTTTGTTATCGAAAAGAACTACTTGATGTGTTTGCTCATATTAGCCTCGTGCGTCAAGTTTCTTCACATTTATTTATTGATCCTCGGATATACGTTTGCATTATTTGTTGTTTCACACAAAGCCGGCGTTATAAAATATGTCGGTTAAAGAATAGATATATTTTCGGGGGCAATAATCTGACTAATGCATCGATTTATTGGCAAACAAACGTGAAGGAGAGGGAAGGGGAAGACAGAGAGACAAAGAGCTCTTCCGGTTTTGAGCGATGGGAATGGATAAAGGTGAAAGTTATAAGCTTCGACGAGCAGCCCGCGATAAAGACGCTTCCGATCACCCTCAATGGCTCTGTATAAAAGGCTGCAAAGGGCTGTGTCAGGGTTAACTGACCTGAGTCAACATTTTCTATACGCTTTACACTTTGCGTTTGTGTCGGCCGTGTGAAATGGCCGAATATTTATAGAGAAATATTTTTATTTTACACAAACAATTAGTTTTTCTCTTCATATTATAAAATTTTATTTCTACATTATTTTTGTTTGGTTTTATTGTTTGAACGACACGTAATATCCGCATACTGATTTCAAGTATTTATCGGACTTGATACATTTTTGTTGAAACACAATTCTTGAAAAATATTCCACTCACTTTTATATTACGTGTTCGTTGTTTATTTTCATTTAAATCGGATAAACATAAGCAAAAAGTAATAACCGGTGCATAAACAAGCGAATAATCAATATAGAAACAGTTCGGTACTTTGGGGATATATACAACGAGTTAGTTATTGAGAATAAATTAGAATGGCAAATCGCCATATATAGAGTGCCTCATATAATGCAAATCTGTTTAATTATTTTTTTATATGTAGCTCGCGGATATGGAAAATGATTCTCTGTTCGCAGATTTACAATGCAAATGCGAGAAATTTTGAATGATATCGATAACGCGGCGGGATAAATAATCCGAAGCACAAATAATATCCCGCGTATGGCTTTGCGTCGCGGACAGTTTGTAACAAAATAGTTTCAACATACAAAATATATGTATGTATATATGTATGTATATATGTATAAATTTACGGGATATGTAAATATGTTACATCCAACCGTGAAAATTTGCTTCAAGTAACAGAAATTCTCTCTCACATTTATAAAATAAAAAATTAAATTTCCCTATTTTTCAATTTACACATACGATCGATCTTTTTTTATAGATCATACACTATTCTCGATCAAGATTTATCACAAAAAAAAAAAATTCGTTGATTTGTTTCACATTGTGTGACACGGGTAATTATGCAGACAGAGAATAACAGAGAGTTCATTCCGATGTTGAGGTGTGATCGATCTCAATTATTTAACAAACCAATGTGTATATACATAATATCAAAAAGAGAGAGAGAGAGAGGGATCATTCTCTCGCGAATCAAATCGAAACGAGAGTCCATTGAGAGTGTTGTTGCCATCGATCAACAATTACTGTCATTAGGCATTGACGTTTAATGCTATGTAAGTTGCGTCCTACGTGATGGCATGCCGGTCGGCTCTTTTCGTCCGCAATGAAACGGTAAGCCATCAAAAGCTCCGCATTACTTATGGCTGATTGATCGATAGAACTCTCATCTCTATCTCTATCTCTCTCTTTCTCCTCGCTTGTGGGAGCGTCTGTCTTTCGCCGCGGTTCTCTCTCTCACTCGGCGAAGCTTTAATTCGACCCCGGGCGCGTTTTCGATTACCGCTCTGGTCATTACGCGATCGCGACTGAATCGCAAATTCAATTCGATCCGCATTCGGCCGTCTCTCTATTTGCCGAGGGTCGCCGTCATTTGGCGCATGCACACCGTTTGCTCCACCTGAGGAGGAACCGACACGTCGGAAAAGTTTCGCGCGGTTCCCACGTTGAGATGTGAGAAAACGCTGTTAACTTTTTTCCGATTCACAGACACACGTGTTATCCGGAAAATTTCTCCTTCGTTACCGGATAAAGAGAGAACCTACGAACCTTTGTGTGATTGCACATCGCGGCAATGCGATTTCTGCGTGTGAACTTTATTCAGCGAAATTTTTAACGAATTTTAACGCACGCGTGATAAATTCTGTAAATTGATTTTTCAAAATCCACGTGACTTTTAAAGGTCGCATAGTGCGAAATGTACGTTCGGTGTATGTACTAATTA